AGGTCGCGCCGCCAAACGCGCCGACCTCCTCCGAGGGACCTCCGCCTCTGACCGAGGCTCCACCTTTCGCTGCCCCGACGCTGGAGCCCTCCCCGCCCCCAGTCTTACCCCCTCAGCGCCGCCCCCCGTCTCCTCCGCTGCCACAGCTTTCCCCCCCGCGACACTCGCGCGCGCCACATCGCCACCTAGACCCCCGCCGCCCGCGCGCGCCCCCGCGGGCCCTCCAGCACCTCGGACGCGGCCTGGCCCAGCGACGTCGCGCTCCCCGCCGACATCCCTAACTCCAACCGCGGTCACCGCGCCACCCGCCGCCCCTGCATCCACGCGAGGCGCCGCCGTCTTCCCCCGTGCGCGCCGCGCGGCAGAACGCGGAGCGGCGCCACCCGGCGAGCCAGAGACCCCCCCCTCTCTCGGAGACACCGCCCCCCCGCCAACCCCAGCGGTCAAGTCGCGGACGCCTGCCGCGCCCCTTGACTCGGCTGCGCCCGAAGCCGCGCCCTTCGTCGTGACCGCTAGCCGCCCAGCGGTACCATCACCATCGACGGCGCGCCCCCCCCTGACTCGGAAACCACAAATTTCCTCCGCAGGCGCCTGCTCGCGGAACGCGGCTCGGCGGCGGCAACCGAGACAACGCCCCCCCTGCGTCCTCCACGGCCTGGCCCTGCACCAACTCCACCGCCGGACGTAGGCCCACCCCCCGACCCGATTGAGGCCGAAGCCCCGGCCCGATCGCCAGCGACGCCGCGCGCGCGCCCGATCCCTCGGGCCGCCGACGGCCCACCCCCCCCCTTGCGCTCCGTCGCTCCGTCGGCGTCACCGCCAACAGCCCCACCCCCGCCCCATCCGCCGCCACCAGACGCACTCGCATCACCGCCCCCCGGCCCACTCCCGCCACTGCCCTGCCCCTCACGCGCTGCGCCCACCTCTGTCGCATCTGCGCCCGCGCCCTGCCCCTGACCGCGGCCCAGGCGGCAATACACTGCCATGTACGCCTCCTTCTGCTTGGTGTGCGCCGGCTCGTCTCGGATCAAGCGCGGTGGCTGGTCGTCGTCAAACATGAAGTACCTCCCATCATGAACGCGGCACAGAGTCGTGTAATGGCCGCTATAAATTGCCCGCCCATTGTGGTAAACCACACCGACCAACTGCATCTGGGGAAGCCCTGGCAGCCTCAGGTGCTCTTCCACCCACACTGCCTCCCGCGCCTCGGTGCCCCTCCTCAATTGAACCACCAGAACTCGTGGCACACCAGTGGCTCTCGTCTGCCTCACGTGCTTAACCCGGTCGTGCTCGTCGCGGCAACACCCCGGGCAGCTCTTCTCGATTTCTTCATGAGCACAGAAATCGCAGTACAACTCCTGCAGCATCAAGGGCCCACCTGGACGTCCATGAACACGCAGCTTCAGTACATCCTCAGCCTCGTACGCGACAGTCTCGTAATTACACACGACACACTTCTCCCGCTTCTCCAGGACGAACCCGAAGATCTGATCAACGCACGTCACCCGCAGATTCAGCGCCCGAATACTACCAAGGTCCCGCTGCGCAAACCGACCTGCCAACATCTCTGCGTCACGCGCAGCCACCATCAGCTTACCCCAATACGCAAACACATCCTGCTGCTGCCACGGGTCGTTGAACTCACTCGGCCGCCCATCACATCGTCGTCGCAGTCAACGCTCGTACGCCGCAGCACACTCACAGGTCCCTGCTGCCAGCGTCGCGAGCACAACTGGTTGTACGTCTCCCACATCCCGCACACGCAACAACGCCCCGTGCCCCGGTCCTCGCACTGCTGCTCTGAATGCCATCGAAGCCACTCCAAGCCGGCAGGCGTCCGCAACATCAGCTGCGTCACACTGACCACGTAGCAGGTGTGCCATGGCCGCGGCATCCCTCGGACGGGCACGCACCGCACGCTGTCCCACGAAGCCGCGCGAATGCCAGCCACGTTCGGAACATCCATGTCTGCCGGGCACAGTGGCGGCCGAGGCGGGCAGGGGCTCGGCGGCGGCGGACCCGGGCGCCCCAAAGCAAACAAACTCTGTGGCCCGAACGCTGCGGATACCGCTTGTTCCCGACGGCGCTGTCGGCGGCCGGCAGCCCGCTGCTGCGCCCGCAAGTACGCCTCTCGATCTCGTTCCTGCGCCTGCTGCCGGGCCAGCGCCGCAGACTCTCGACCACGCTGAAACCGACTCTGAACCTCCACACCCTCCAGTCTCTGTGACTGATCGCGAGTCGCCTGCAGCACGACTCTCGCGCGCTGCGCCACGGCCCTCATCTTCTGCTCCCGAGATCCAAAACACGCGTTGGCACGCACATACCCGAACAGCCCATAGTGGTCGGACATGTGGAACTCGGAACCCTCGAAGAACACCTTCCCTTTCCCTACCAAGTGCACCTCGGACCATAGATCCGCTCCAAAGAGCACCCGGTCACGTCTCTGGCCAACAGCCCCCCTCTCGCCGAGACCCGAATAGAACTTATTGCCGTGGCAACCCCAGGATCGGCCCTCATACCATGCGTCCCTCAGACGCAACTGCTCCACGGCTGCCTGCATCTGCGCATCCGTGCTGTTCATGTCGCCCACGATGAGCAGCCGATGGCATTCGTCACCGCACTTCGCCACAATCTTCCCAAGTATCGCACGACGCCGTTCCCATGACGCGTCCGCGGGCAGGTGCACCGCCGCCAAGTGCACATGCCCATCGCCGCCGGCGCCGCCGTCTCCGGGCACCTGGACACGGCACAGCACGACCGGATCCTGCCCTGGCACAGCCACAGATTCCGCCCGCAGACCGTGCCTGACGTACAGATGCACATACCCCCTGGACTCCTGCGCCTGCGCAACGCCCGCCAACTGAAACTCCCCTGACAGCTCCTCGTACGCGCCCCCGCCCTCGCACTCCTGCAAGGCAACGACGTCACACCCGCGCGCCTGCCTCCAACGGAGCACCGCGCCAAGAAGCGCGGCGCGCTGATCCCGCGCGGTCCAGGAATGCGGGGCCACGGCAGCGCGAT